AGAGCAACCACAGTTATGGGACAATGGGAGAGTCCGTCTATCAATCTGAGAATGCCTGCTGGAAGAGATAATTATAATTAATCATGCTCAAAATGGAGGAAATATAGGACATATCCTGGAAAAGGAGGACATCTGGTCACTCTGCTCTGATGTCTTTTATTCAGATGTTCTTCTGGTTATCCAAAAACTAACAACATGTGCAACACTTTGGAAAGAAGTGTTTAGGTATCTCCCTTTCAAAAAGAATCTAGCACCTAAGAACTAGGAATACCGAACCTCTTCTCCTTGATCCTCTGTTCTCTAGTCTCAGAATAGCAAGTTCTTTGACTTTTTTTCCCCAACCTTCTCCAATTTTCTTTCTAGAACTGCAAGCATCTGCAAAGTTCTGCAAAAATCATTGCCCAGTTTCCAGGGTCTTCCAAGAAATATAGCGCCCAAAAATCATCTTTGCTGAAGACCTCTAAGGGGCAAACTACTGTTGGTCCTGTGTATCCACAGAATATTTTATCCATGTATTCAAGCATCCACGGCTTGAATATATTCAAGAAGGACATAAATTCCAAAAAGCAAATCTTGATTTTGCTATTTTATATAAGGGACACCATTTGACTATGCCATTATATTTAATGGGACTAGAACATCACAGACTTTAATATCCACAGGGGGATCCTGGAAGCAAACTCCAGCGGATACCAAGGGCCCACTGTGCATGTTAAGAGTATCAAATATGCTTTTAAAAATGTACTTAGGTACATGTGATGTCTTGCTTTTATTTTGCACCAAAAGAAGATGTAGGGGCCTGATCCAGGACATGTTCCCAATCCTGTTCATGTAGCCCATGAAAATTCCCTTTTCAGGCTGCTTTTTGCAGTAAATAGCATGTTCATATCAAACTGGAACTGGAATCAATTTATGACAACAAGATTTTCCCATTTTCTGGACTGGGACCAAGCAGTGCTTTTCATTCCAAGTGGCCACTTTCAGTACCCTTATGAAAACATGCATTTAAAAGAGAATCACACAATGATAGCGTATAAAGGGACCCCAAAGGTCATTTAGTCCAACTCCCTGTCTCCTAAAGCACCCTTGATATGAGGCCTCAACCTCTGTTTAAAAGCTTCCAGTGGAAGAAAGTCCTAGGTAGCCAACTCCACGGCTGAACAGCTCTTATCATAAGCAAGTTCTTCCTAATGTTTGGTTGGGATCTTCTTTTTTAAGAAAAAATTCAATCCATTGGTTTGGGTTCCATTTTATCCAGCAAGAAAGAACAGATCAATCCCCTTTCCAGGTGACAGCCCTTCAGAGATTTAAAAAGGGCTTTTATAAAATCATACAGCGATTGTAGGGAAGAGGAAAACATTGTTTAGCTCACATTTTAATATGGAGTGACATATTTAAGAACTGGTGCTTTTCAATGAACTGATATAGGTTGAGTCTCCCTTATCTAGAATTCCAAAATCCAAAGTATACACAAAAATATAAATAAATAAATAAATAAATAAAATCATAGGCAGCTGAGATAGTGATACCTTTGCTTTCTGATGGTTTAAGGTACACAAACTTTGTTTCATGCACAAAATTATTACACTATTATAAAAAATTACCTTCAGGCTATATGCATGAAATGTACGTGACACATAAATGAATTTTGTGTCTAGATTTGGGTCCAGTCTCCAAAATATCTCAATACATGTTGTTGTTGTTGTTGTTGTGTGCTTCCAAGTCATTTCTGACTTATGGCTATCCTATCATGGGGTTTTCTTGGCATGATTTGTTCAGAGGAGGTTTGACACTGCCTTCCCCTGAGGCTGAGAGAGTGTGATTCACCCAACATCACCCAGTGGGTTTCGTGACTGACTGGGGAATTGAACCCTGGTCTCCAGAGTCGTAGTCCAGTGCTCAAACCACTATGCCTCTCTCTCTCTCTCTCTCTCTCTCTCTCTCTCTCTCTATATATATATATATATATATTCAAAACACCTCTTGCCTCAAGCATTTCAGATGAAGGAGACTCAACTTACATTAATACCTGGACTGGAAACCCATGAGATCTTATTTGTTGCACTTCCTGATACCATGATAAAGTTTTCCAACCAAAAACTACATAGGCGGTGGCAAATGATATCCAAAAATGTTTCTATAAGGGAAAATATACCTCAGAGGTGCATGCTCTGAGGTCTTCTCTGCATCATGCAGAGCCAAACCTCCAGACTGAGATCTTACAGTGAGAAAGTGGAACATAACCAACCTCGGGTATAAATAACCCTCCCCAATTATCCTTACGTGGCCCCATCATTGATGGTAGGATATTCTGGCTGGGCACATACTCTGGGTTTGTATTGTATTTTAATGAGTTTGTTATTATTTGTCATTTGTCATTTTAAAAATCATTGATTTAATACTGTTTTAAGGGGGGGAGGGGGTTTGTTGTATATATGTGTGTTTTATGGATATGTATATGTTTTAAATTGTAAGCCGCCCAGATTGGTATTCCAGAGGGCGGGGTATAAATAAATTTTATTATTATTATTATTATTATTGTTATTATTACTCAAGCAGTTCTGTGTCTTTCCCTTCCTTGGAAAGATATCAAGCCTCCAGAGGGGATCTTGCTTATTGGTGAAGAGGGAAAGGAGGAGGAGGCAATTCATAAAATCATAGAGTTGGAAGAGACCTCAAGGGTCATCCAGTCTAACCCCCTGCCATGCAGGAAGTCAAAATCAAAGAACTGCTGATAGATGGCCATCCAGTCTCTGTTTAAAGACCTCCAAAGAAGGAAACTCCATCATTCTCTGAGGGAGTGTGTTCCACCATTGAATAGCTCTTACTGTCGGGAAGTTCCTCCTAATGTTGAGGTGGAATCTCTTTTCCTGGAGCTTGCATCCATTGCTCCGTGTCCTATTCTCTGGAGCAGCAGAAAACAAGCTTGCTCCATTCTCAATATGATATCCCTTCAAATATTTATACAGGGATATCATGTCACCCCTTAACCTTCTCTCCTCCAGGCTAAATATACCCAGCTCCTCATAAGGCATGGTTTCCAGACCCTTTACCATTTTGATCTCTTTATATATTATCACCATATCTTTTAAAGGCTGTATATGATCACCCTATCTTTTAAACTTGTATGTTGAAAATACCATATATAACTGGAACATCGCCAATTTAAGATATGCAGATGATGCCATACTACTAGCAGAAAATAGCAAACACTTGGAATGACTGCTGAAGAAAGTCAAGAAAGAAAGTAAAAAGGCAGGTTTACAGTTGGACATTACAAGAACAAATGTTATGATCACAGATGATTCACATAACTTTAAAGGTGACAATGAAGATATTGAAATAGTTTAAGATTTTCCACACCTTGGCTTCATCTTTAATCAGAATGGAGACAACAATCAAGAAATGGATGAAGGAACTATGAAGGAACTGGACAAGACCCTGAAATTTCAGGATATATCATTGAATACTAGTTAGGATTCTCCATGCCATCATATTTCCTATTTCAATGCATAGTTGTGAAAGCTGGACAGTGAAGAAAGCTAATAGGGGAAAAAAAATCAACTCATTTGAAATGTGATGAAATGTTCTGTGAATACCTTGGATTGCTAAAAAAAAAAAAACCTATTAAACATGTCCTACAGCAAATGAAGCCTGGATTCTCCCTAGAAGCCAAGATGTCTGAACTGAGGCTGTCATACTTTGGCCACATCATGAGAAGACATGAGTATCTAGGAAAGACAATAATACTTGGCAAAGTAAAAGGCAGTAGGAATAGAGGAAGACCATGTTATAGATGTATGGAATCATTAATGGAAACCACTGACTTTGCAAGACCTGAGCAGGGCAGTTGAGAATAGAATGACCTGAAGGTTTTTCATTCATAAGGTCACCATAAGTTGAAGCCAACTTGTCAACAGTTAATAACAAGAAGAAGTATATATAAATGCTTGCAAAGTAAAGCTGGTATTCAGAACCTAGAGTGATGGATCCATAACTGCTCTGTATTCACTAATCCTAAGTAGTCACAACCCACAGCCAGCAGCCCTCAGTCCATAAGAACCATCCATTGGCTTAGGTGAAGGAAGCTGGTGTTCGAACCACAGGAGGTGGATATTTCCACCATAACCTCACAAGCAATGGTGCAACAACCAGAAGCTGGAGCCCAGTTGCAAGTCCTTATTGCAGTCTCTCTTGCTGGTGAGAAGGGACTGGAAATGTCATGCTAGGATTGCATGGACTCCTTCATCCAATCTGCTGGGTGGCTCTCAAGGTGGACCTGGAGGGTCGGACCAGGAGATATTGCACCTTAAAGACCATTTAGGATTCCAGAGCATGCAAGTAAGCTAAATAAAGCATTCTACAAATATAGAATATATATAGAAATTGTTTGCAACAAATTTGTACATTTAAAAAAGTCAAAATAAATTGGATAGAGAGACTGTCCCGTGAAGCAAAATGAACTCTTTGCATCAGGTGGAAGATAGGAAGATTGACAAAGTTGCCAGTGTCCTCCAGAGGTCCCAGCACTGCCTTAATCAATACATGTCTGGCTACAAGGACATAGCCAGATGCCTCTACAGAATGGCCATACAAGCTGACCTTTTACATTAAGTTGGGGGGAGGATATATGGCTCAGCGTGGCTTAGGTCTACATGTGGATATTTACGCCACACTGAGGACACATTGGATTGAGGTTACAGTCAGTTAAGTGAGGTAAGTTCCACCAGTGTAACTGCTGCACATGCAGCTGTGCATTTTTGGATGGTGCATAACAATTTCCAATGTACCACTTGATTTACTGGAAATTGTGGAAACAGCAAGCGCATTTGCGCAGGCGAAACTGGTAACACAATGCTGGTATTCGGCAGAAGGGTGAATGCGGGCTAGAAGATTTTAATTGTACTATTTTTAAGAGCTTTTATTTGTTTACATTGCATTTCATTCTTTTAATGTGTGATGTCTTTTAATAGTGTAATAGTTTAATTCTATTTTAATGCTCATGCTTTGTATGCTTTTAATAGTGTTGTTCTTTGAAGTAGTGAGCTACGTTGAGTCCCAGTTTTGGCAGAAAAGTGGGATATTGATGTGATGATGATGATGATGATAAGTGATGATGATGAGTGATGTAACACAACCACCACTTAATTGTGTAAGTTTAGATTTACACTATGCAAGCATGAGGCAGGATCATAGTTTATGTGCTCTCCTGTTTTGTTAAGTAACATTCAGTACAATTTTCTGGACTTGATGCTTTCTTTGGTAAAGAATATTCCTAAGTATTATCATGTTCAACAAGAAGGGTATCTCAGTGCATTAAAAAAAACCTGTTTTTTTTAAAAAAAGATCAAACAGGAAGGAAAAAGTAGTACTCTGTCACCCATAAAACTAATTACTTTATTTCAGCATAGCTTTTTTTGGATATAATCCACTTCCTCAGATGCAACTGTAACTCAAGAAAGTTTATGCTAAAATAAACTGAATAGTTTTTAATGTGACACATGTCCACTTGGTCCTTCCACTTTTTATACAAAAATTAACACAGTTGCCCTTTCAAAAATTGCTACTTTGATTTCTTTTTAATCTATTCTTAACTTTATTCATACCCTGGCCTTCTTCCCAAATTGGGACTTACGGTGGCTTACAATTTGAAACAAGAACAATGTAGCTAAAAACATACAAAAGTCAACATTACAATGGAATTGTATTTTAACTAAACAATATATTTTAACTAAACATTGTAATGGCACAACAAGATATTCTCATTGTTTTTACGACAATAAAAATCTATAATATTCTTTCTCTTTGTATTTTGTTGCAGTCTGAAAGAAAATATATTATTGAACATATTTTACAAGTCATTTTACAAGTTATTTTGCAACACTCCTTCCTTCTTGCTCTTTCTTGACTAATTGTTCAATGTTTTATTTCTTCTCTAAGATCTCTCATTATTTTCATGACTTCTCACATGAGATAACCTTTGTGCATTCTACCTGTATTTTCATAAACTTTCAGTTTTAACTTAGTAAATACCAACATTGACCACTTAAGTTATTTAATTATTTAATACATTATCTCAATTCTTGAGGGTGAAACAGATGGGCAAAATAAAGCGGCTTCCAACCACCTTGAAGGTGAGGCATTTACATGAGACATGCCTCCAACTTGGATGGAAACAGAAATGAAGCCACACTTTGAGGATAAAAACTGGAGCAAAAAGAAGCTGGGTTTCACCCAGAAAATGTGCATCTTCACACCTGTATATAAATGCCCCAATAAGACTGCGAGGCTGCAGCAAAGCAAAAGAAATTACAGTGTGACTACTCCAATGGATTTAGTTATAACATACACAAACCAACAATCCAACAGGAGGGCATGGGGTTAAGGAGGCATGTCTGGGGTGGGGGGCCTCCATGAATGTGCTTTGCCAATGTGATTGATCATGGGGCAGAAGAAAGTCTAAGTGGCCAACAACAGC